CGTGGTGTTCTGTGAGTTTCAGCTATATTGGCTCGGGGGTTACAGTTCCATCTGCCACGTATGTGGTCCATGGGTACCAGGTCAATGCACACCGCTCCGATCTCCCGTGGAGGTCGGCCGTCAGGGTCTCCATTGAGTATATGTCCTCTACCACTGACATCCATTGCCTCAAGGTGGGCGCTCTTGGCTGTTTCCACATCCTCGGGATAAGGGATTTGGCGGCATTGAGTAGCGGCAGTTCCAGGGATTTTTTGTAGGCTGTCAGTGGGCTTTGGGTGTGGTGCAAAAGCATCGTTAGGGGTGCCAGGGGGATATCGGTGCCTGTAATTTTGTTGATCTCTCCTCTAATTTGTTCCCAGAAAGGGGCAATTACTGGGCATGACCACCACATGTGGAGATCCGTGCCAGGTTGTGTGCCACATCGCCAGCACATGCCTGACGTGGTACCGTGCATGCGGTGCAGTGTGTCGGGCGTTCTATACCAGCGCGTTAGCACTTTATAGTTTAATTCCTGATATTTTGAGCTGATAGAGCATTTGTGCGTGAGGGTATAAATCTTGTCCCATTCGTGCGCAGTGAGTGTCTCTCCCGCATCCCTCTCCCAGTGGTCTTTGAACCTAAGCTCCACGTCCCTGTTCGTCGTGAGTAGGGTGTACAGGGTTGAAATTCCCCTGGTGATGTGTGTGCGTTGCACACATAGGGTTTCAAAGTCAGTTAAGGGTCTGTGTAGGTGCCCCTTACCCGACAGGGCTGAGTAGTAAGATTTTATTTGGCGGTATCTAAACTGTTCAAGGAATGTAGGTGTTCTGTCGGGGCATAGTTCTCCGATTGTTTTTAGGCCGTTGGTGCTGAGCCATTGGTGTATATATGACCAGTCCGTCGGTTGGAGTCCGGCTAGGTCACCTCGAGTCAGTGAATCTGCCAAGTCCGGGTTATGTGTGAGGGGGATCAGGGGGCTGGGCGAAGTGGTGAGTTGTAGACGGTATCGGGTTGCCATCCAGACCCTCAGGGTGGCGTCTATTAAGGGGTTTTTAGTTTGTAGATCTGCATGCGTAGCAGTGTGTAGCCATAATGTGGGGGGTATGTGCCCTCCCGACTGTTCCAATTCCAGCGTGACCCATTGTTTTGTGGGATGCTGTGCGTGCCAGTCTGTGAGCCTGTGTAAATGTGCGGCCCGGTAGTATGTCTCAATTGAGGGCAGGCCGGTACCCCCCAACGGTTTTGGCAGTTCCAATGTCGTTCTCTTGATGCGTGTTGGGCGCGAATTCCAAACGAATCTGCGGATGGCGGTCAACAGGGAGCTAAAGAACGCCCTGGGGACCGCGATCGGCACCGTCTGGAATAAATAGAGCAGTCTGGGTAGTAGGTTCATTTTGACTGCGTTAATGCGTCCAAACCAAGATATATATTGTGGGGCCCATTTTCTCATGTCTGCCTGGATCTTTTGTAGCAGCGGGTGGTAGTTTTGGTAGTACAGTTGGGTCATGTCTTTTGGTAGCCATATACCCAGGTATTTCAATTTAGTGGGGCACCATTTGAAGCGGAATTGGGTGTGTAGCGTCGTTGAGGAGTCCTGGGGGCTTGGAAGGTGAAGGGCTTCTGACTTATCTGTGTTGAGCTTAAGGTTAGATATCAAGCCAAACCTTCGGAATGCGGCCAGAAGATTAGGAAGTGATATCCGCGGAAGGGTGAGGAAAAACAACATGTCATCCGCGTATGCCGCAACTCGGTATTCTCGCCGGCCGACGGTGAATCCCGTGATACCCCCATCTCGTCGGACCGCCCCCAGGAAGGGTTCCAGGGAGAGGGCAAACAGGAGGGGGGACAGCGGGCAGCCCTGGCGGGTTCCATTTCGAATGGGAAAGGGGGTGGACAGAGCACCATTCACCCGAATCCGTGCCGTCGGGCTCGTGTACAGGGAAAGGACCCATGATCGCATGCGTGGGCCGAATCCCATGTGTGTGAGTGTTTCCTCCAAGTACAGCCAGTCCACCCGGTCGAAGGCCTTCTCGGCATCTGTCGAGAGGAGGAGTAGCTCCCGGTGTTGCGACCTTGCTACTTGCAGTATGTTTAGGGCTTTGATGGTGTTATCTCTTCCCTCCCTCTCTGGGATGAACCCGACCTGGTCCGAGTGCACTAGGTGTGGTAGGTGCTTCGCGATTCGCAGGGCTAGTGTCTTGGCGAACAGTTTGAGGTCTGCATTGAGCAGGGATATGGGGCGGTAGCTAGCGCAATTCGCTGGGTCTTTACCTTCTTTGGGTATCACCGTGACTATGGCCGCTAGTGTGTCAGTGGGAAACCGTTCCCCGTCTTGAAGTGAGCTAAGACCTCGTAGGAGGTTCGGCAATAATACATCGCGGAATGTTCGCAAGTATGCCAGCGGAAGGCCATCTGGGCCAGGCGCCCTGTGGGATTTGGAGATTTTTAATGCTGCGGCTAACTCTTCTATCGTGAGGGGTCGTTCTAGTTCCTCTATCATTTCTGGGGTCAATTGTCTTTCTACATTTTGGTCTAAGTACTCCGTTATTTGTCCCCGGCGTTGGGCCTGTGTGGTGACCGTCGTGGGCTGGGGGATATTATATAAGTCGGTGTAGTAGTCCACAAAAGCACGTTGGATTCCGTCGGGTAGACTTGTTACAGTCTTGTCTCTAGTGTTAATTTTGTGTATGTGGTTCGCCCTTCTCCTGTCTTGAAGCTGGCGGGCTAAAAGCCTACTGCTCTTGTTGGAGTACTCGAAGAAGTGCCGAGCCGACTTTCTAAGGGTGCGCAAAAGGCCCTTGGCTAGTATGTCCCGTCTCTGCCTCCTAAGCTCCGTCAGTCGGTGGAACTCGTTTTCCCCCTGATTTTGTTTGTGTGCCTGCTCTAGTGTGGTGATTTGTGCGTTTAGGGTGGACAATTGTTGTGTGCGTTCTTTTTTACGCTGTGAGCATATTTTGATATAGTGGCCTCTAATGACACATTTATGTGCCTCCCAGATTGTTAGGGGGGGGGTGTCTGGCGTGTTGTTAGTGTCAAAGTATTGTGTCAGTGCTTGCCTGGCTTGTTCCTTGTCCACTAGGTCAAGTAGTAAGTTTTCGTTCAACTTCCATTGCCGCTCTGCAGGTTTATGTAGGGGGGATTGGATTTGTACTGTAATGGGGGCGTGGTCAGAGTCTGCGATATGCCCTATGCTAGCTCGTTGGAGTAGTGTTAGGGCCTCTTGCGCCATTAGGATGTAGTCTATTCGGCTGTAGCGTCGATGTACAGCCGAGTAGAAGGTGTAGTCTCTGCCCTCGGGGTTAGCCACTCTCCAGCAGTCAGCTAAGCCACACCGGGCTAAGGCCCTCCCTGTTGAGCGTATGCAGTGACCTGGTATCGAAGTTTCTCCCCTAGATGTATCCAACCTAGAGTCAAGGGGAATGTTGAGGTCTCCTGCCACTATCAGAAGGCCTTCTCTGAATTTGTTTAGTAGGGCTAGCGTTTTAGTTAGGAAGACGTGTTGACGTCGATTAGGGGAGTACAGGCAGGCAAATGTGTAGGTGGACTGTGCTATCGTGCCTTTGATAAATACGTATCTACCCCCGGGGTCTGACTTCTGCTCCGTGCAAACGAATGGGACTGTACTGGAGAGTAGGATTGCTACTCCGGCCTTCTTCCCGTCCGGGTGATTAGCATAGAATCCTGTGGGGTAACGCCTGTTTCTCACGTTTGGCGCCTCTGTACCCTGAAAATGTGTTTCCTGTAAGAACGCCACTGAGGCGCGCTCTGCCCACAGTGTGCGAAGTAGTTGGGACCTTTTTTCGGGAATGTTTAAGCCTCTTACATTGTTAGACCATAGGGTCAGTGGTGTCGGCTTGTAGTTAGAGCCCATCTCTATCAGTGTTTGTTGTGAGGTGTGTGTGGGTATGTGTGCGTCAGTGGTTGATGGGTATAGGGGTAAGGTCTGTCCGGTGTCTGGGGAGGGTGATAGTCTGTCCAAGAGAGAGGCAACTGTGACTCGCCTCGGTTTTTGTCGCCTTCTGGTGTCTGTTCCCCTGGGGGTGAGTCACCTCGGTGGCCTCCGAGTGTATATACAACGTGAGTCCGTTGCTTGGGGTATGCGGTCCCTCTAGTGTGGGTCGTTCGATAGTGTTGTGTCGAGCCTTTCCCTTGGCTCCCAGCTCACCTATTGTGTTGGGTTGTAGATCTCTCCGAGTATGTTCCCGTCCCGGAAACCCCACCCACCTTCGTTGCCCCTCCCTGTCTCGGCCTATGTATGGCCTGTGTATGTGTCTGACTCTAACTCGGGCCCCAAGTTTCACGTCATTCTGTAACTGTTGCTACACGTATTGTACCGCGTCCGCGCAATTGTTTACAAACAATAAAAACCATAAACCAATATAACAGTCATAATAAACAGTTGTGGAGCATGGCCCCCCATTCTTCCCCCCCCCCCAAAGGGAGCTCCCCACACCCCCCCCTTGGTGGCCCCATTACATGCCTGAGAGGCCCTCGGCTGTCCAGAAGGTGCTGGGATCTATGCTATCGGTCGTGCCCTTCAGGCTAGAGCTTGGGGAGATCACCCTTACAGTGGTGGGTATAACCCTGGTATGGTGGCAGCCTCCCAGCTTCCATCCCCGCACCCCCTCCACCCAAAGGTAGCTGGTGTTCCCGGGCCTTGGCCACTAGGAGAGTCCCAGCGTGGCATGTCCATGCAAAGTCTATCTCCTGGGGGTCCCCACCCCTGGTTGTGAGGCTCAGGTTAGGCCACCCCCTGCTAATGAGGATCTGGACCCCATGTTGCGGGCTTAGGTCAGGGAGTCAAGTACATACCAAGTTGTGCTGTGGTTCGACCAGGTGCGTGGGGGGCAATGTCGTCTCGTGGTGCCCGACACCCACAGGAGCTTCCGGTGGTCGTGTCTAGGTCTTCTGAGCTGTCTTGTGGCCTTCTCTCGTAGTGGCTGGGGGGCCGTTGGTGGGGTGGCAGGTTGACGGTCGGGTTAGCAGAATGGGAGGTAGGGGAACAGGTTCATAGGGGACAGTTATTCTTCATGGCTGTCTGGGCCACCCCGCCGGAACCCGCTGCCTGTGAGGCCCGTGCCCGGCCTGTCGCTTACCGCCCGTGGGTGCTGTGGTTGTCGCTCCAGGACCCAGTTGGATATCGTCACCGCGGGTAGACTCGTGGCTCGTAGGAAGCGTGGAACATCAGCTGGCCAGCGGATGATATGCCAGGTTTGGCCCACCCTCGCCTGCAGGCTGAAGGGGAAGCCCCATTTGTACGGGATCCTCCGCTCCCGGAGAATGGCGGTTACTGGACGTAGCGCCCTCCTGGCCTCTAGCGTGAGCGCGGAGAGATCCTGGTAAAGCGAGACCTGCCCGTCTCTAAAGGCGATGTTCTGTTGATTGCGCGCCGCTCTCATGATGCCATCTTTTAAGGCGTAAGAGAGCAAGCAGCAGATTACGTCTCTCGGCGGTCCCTCAGGGGACAAGGGTCTCAGCGCTCTATGGGCTCTTTCGATACCGTAGTCTTCTGGGGCTCTGTCACCCAGAATATGGGTAAACAGGTCTGTCAGGAGCTCTGGCAGCGTTTCGTCCGCGTTTTCGGGTAGGCCCCTTATGCGGATATTGTTCCTCCTTCCGCGATTGTCCAGGTCTTCTAGTTGTCTCCTGAGATCTAGTAGGACATTGCCCTGTCTGGTGGTGGCAGTGTCTGTGGCCTGTTGGTGCTGCACAGTCTGGGCTCTGTCTGCTTCAAGGGCCTCTACCCTTTGTTCAAGGGCTGTCAGGTCTTTCCTCACCTCCATGACTTCCTCCCTGATTGCAGTCCTGATTTCTGCCAGCATCTCAGCTTTGTCAGCTCTGGACAGCATATTGGCAGTGATCTTGGCTAGCTCGGATGAAATATGCGCCAGAGTGTCTCCCCTGGGTGAGCCCTGCGTCAGGCTGTCACTGCTGCTGTCCCCTGGGGAGGCCGGCGCCATTTTGGATGCGGCCGGCGCGGACCGCATGTCTCGCGGCGTGCATACATAGCCGTCCATGGGGCCCGAGGTGCGACCCGGCGAGCCGGCTTGTGAGGGTCCCGGCGTGTGGGGTCTCCGGGATTTACCCATCTCGGGTCGGATAGCGCTCGTTGATGGGTGCTAGTGTGAGCTGGGGCAGCGGAGCAGGTTCAGGATGCGTCCTACTCCATACCCGATCAGGCCACGCCCCCTATTTTACCATTTTTATTTGTTTTTATATAACTCAGTGAGCACTATATACGTCTCTCATCTTTTTACATATCGAGGAATTGCTGAGGACTCCATTACCTATATCCAACCAGTGGGGGATTGACGCCACTGAACGCTAAGAATACTTGAGCAAAGTTTTTTTTTGCTCACATCAAGGTGAGTTTTTTACCTACTTATAGACCCACACCTGGAAATTTTGTCGACATCCTACACTATTGGAGTTCTTTTTTATTTCTTTTATGTATCTACATATTGACAAGCGTTCCAAGACATCTTCAACATAAGAAGATTCAGATATCCATTTGGACTGTATACTCATCTAAGAACAACACAGGTTTATCTATTATTTGGGACTTTTTTATCACTTTTATTTATTCCATTTATTTTACCTCCTTGTCCCTTTAGCGCGACCTATATACCCATTTTTGTCTATCCTATTCCATGTGAGGCTTGTTGAGGGACCTCATTCCTATAGGTTGCTGCTTTTACACTTTATTTTAGTTTCTTTTAGATTACTTAGCGCTGAACCATTATCTTTTTGTTTCTTTTATACAAGTTTTCCAACAAGGTTACTACCCACGTTGACCTTGTTGGGCACTGAAAATACAAACTTAACAACCAATAGCGTACAATCACACAGTTACACACTCCCATTCCTTACTGTAAATTCCTCCCCTCTGCTTGGGAAATAATTGAGTTAATTTATGTATCAAATCTCCAAGCGAAAAATATACTTTTTTCTAAATTTTTATAACTCCAAAACTATACATGTAATTTCAATAAAAGTTTTTTTCTGAACCAGCATAATCACGGAACAAACATATCCAAAATTCAGACGAATAGGTCCATTGGTTCGGGAGTTAGCTGAAAGTCTTATTTGACCAACCGCAAGCATGTTTTCATCCCCAAAGCAGTCCCACAGATTCAGGCTGTGCGGTCGGTCTATCTTTCCTTTCACATAACATACCAATTGCACAACCGGACCTGTTTGTGCCTATTGCCATTGGATGCGTCCTGTTCGTGAATTTAGGCTCCAAAAATAGTACTCAGTTCGTATGGTTTTAGCCGAACACACAGAAGGTAGACGTTTCAGCGGTGTTCGTGGAAAGTGTAGCCGAAAATAGTTCCACGCGTTCGACAACTAAAACACCGCTGAGCGCATTCGGCTAAACAAAATGGCCACCGCCACGTGTTCGTACAGACGAACGCCGACCACCCTGTTGATCAATTAGAACATTGAGGTGTTTGTGGTTTTAGAGGTGTGAAGCGGGTCAGGGAGTTTAATGGGTGCCACACTCCTGTTCTGGTTGGACAGTTGTTGGCAGAAAATTTGTGATATGAACGGATCTTAGCATAATTACAGGTCCATTCATTTTAGGCGAATGGTTTAAATGAACAGTTTTTTTCCCAGTTACAAAAATCAGGGATAGAGGGTCTGTCACAGTATGCATTTTCATATTGTTATTTCATTTTGCCACTCATTAATTGCATGTTTTTATTTGTGGATGGAGGGAATAAGAGATGTTCCATCTAGCTCCCCTAAACCTCCTCCAAATCATGGAGCATGTAACAGAGAACTGAGACATTGAGGTACCTGAAAGTTTACAAGCATCTGAGATCTGTGTTAAAGCCCTGTTTACAGGAAAGCCATACTGATTCTAAGATAAAGGTTAACAGATTACGTCAAATTTCTAATTCTTCCTCATTTAATATCCTTTACTGTTGCTTTGGAAGAAAATTATGCCAAAATAATTAATACAAAAAAAAAAGAGAAAGAAATAAATATAAGTTTTAGAACAAATTGTATTGTTGGAATGGTGCAAAGTGTTTGCATTACTTTTGCTGTTTACATGTACAGAATATATTTGAACATTTTACACATGAGCGTCTGCAAAGGAACAAAGAAATTCTTAACATGTAAATTTGGTGAAATAATAAAAGAGTAATTTACAGTACTGCTGAAAATGTTTCAAGAAGTGACTGCTTCTAGCATAATTTATGTAAAGCTGAATTTTAAAACAGAAGGTCATTTTAAAGACGTACAGAAATGTGGGATGGAAATCTGAAAAGTGACAATGCTTTCTGTTCTCATTTGAATATTGCCCATCTATTCTGGTATCGTTCAGTGCTACTACATCTGAGGGAAGATTTTGCAATATACAGGTATATGTATTGCACAACAATATGCATGTGGATAGACATACTAATAGACAGATGGATAGACTTTATAGAATTTTTCATAAAATTCTGATTGAAAACACAGACGTACAAGTATAATATCCTTCAACTGAGATTTTTTTTTCTCATTAACATTCCTCCTACTAAACAGATCATCATGACTCAGGAACAAATTAGTACAATGCGCTCAAAATGCAATTTTGAAATGGATAGTTATCACTTAATTTAATCTGCTATGCATTTGTTATAAATGAAGCAATTAAATAGCTATTTATGAATAGAAATATGCTTTTACATATTAGTTATCATAACTCCAAAAATAAATTATGACTGTTAAAGAGCATGTCTTTTGTGTATGAATGACTTAATAAAGTGATTAATATTTGTGTTATTTTGTCATGTGTCAGGTTGTTATGGCGACAAATATTTGATTCCAAAACGGCTATTGGCATTTTTTATAGGAAAATGTACTACATTCATGCTAGTGAAGAAATTTAATTGCACATTAAAGAAACACTGTAGTTACAGGAATACAAACGTGTATTCCTGTCACTACAGTGTTAAAAAGGCAGTTTAGGTCCCCAGTCTCCCTTGGCACTCTTTGAAATGATAATAAACTTATCTTTATTCCACCGCCTTGTGGGTTCTCTGAGCTCGGCTTTGCCTGGTTGATATTCTTGGGGATTCTGGTGAGTGGTCCGTTGAGCTCACTATCCTACATATGTCTTACAAGCTTATCTCAGTATATAAGAAATCCATATTACGCCATTTTTACTTAACGCTACAAAGTCTTTCATTCCTGCATTTTGGAAAAAGACAGATGTTCCCACTAAAGAATTTTGGTTGCAGAGGATATTTATCCCCTTTCTATTACCCTGAATTGGTTATCAGTTTAATTTGGGTGGGATCCCAATTTAGGGTAATAGGAAGGTGATATACCATACTTGTTTTTAAATGCACATATACACCTGAGGAAGACTGTTTAACAGTTGAAACATACTTTATTTTAATTTGTTTTAAAGTATATATTTTAACTTTTTTATAATCCAGCTACCTTTTGGACCTTGATTTATCTGAAGCAAGGTGTAACCAGTGGTGTCTCTATGATTCATTTTTAGAGGGGCACACGCTGGGCCTGGAACAAAAACATGTATGTGTGTGTGTGTGCAGAGCCAGCCTTAGGTGTTCAGGAGCCCTGTATGAAACAATCTTGTGGCGCGTCCCACCCCCCCAGTCTCTGTTTGGACCTCTTCAAAAAATTTCAGGAGCATTCACAATCTGTCCCTTCTACAAAACACCTTCACCTCTTCACCAAACCCCTGGCCACCCCTTTGCCTTCATTAATCCCCTCCCACCCCTTCATCAATTCCTGCCACCCCTTCAACAGTCCCCTGCCCCCCTCATCAATTCCCTCCCACCCCTTTATCAGCCCTCTGCCCCCATTCATCAATCCCTTCCCACCCGTATATCACCCACCTGTCCCCCTTTTCAATCCCCTGCCCCCTTCATAAGCCCCCTTAATAAATCCCCTGCCAATTAATATAGCCCCTGGCCACCCCTTCATCAATCCCTGCTAACCGTTCTTCAGTCTCCTGCCCCCCCCCTCATTGATCCCCTCCCACCCCTTTAACAGCCCTCTAACCCCATTCATCAGCCACCTGACCCCTTCATCAATCCCCTCCCCCCTTTTCTCAGCACTCTGCCCCCCTTTAATCAGCCCCATGTCCCCCTTTTCAATTCCCTGCTGCCCTTCATCAGCCCCCTTAATAAATCCCCTGCCAACTAATCCAATCCCTGCCACCCCTTCATCAATCCCCTGCCCCCCCTCATTGATCCTCTCCCACCCCTTTAACAGCCCTTTGCCCCATTCATCAGCCCCCTGACCCCTTCATCAATCCCTCCCCTTTTCTCAGCCCTCTGCCCCCTTTAATCAGCCCCTTGTCCCCCTTTTCAATTCCCTGCTGCCCTTCATTAGCCCCCTTAATAAATCCCCTGCCAACTAATCCAATCCCTGCCACCCCTTCATCAATCCCCTGCCCCCCTTAATTAAACTCCTGCACCCCTTCAACAAAACCTATTTAATAAAAAAAAAAGTCACTCACAGTAAAGGCTGCTGCTTGCTGCTCCCTGGACTGAGCTGTCAGTTCACCTCTACGCCGATTAAAGAGCACTGGGCGCCGGCTTCACTCACTGAATTGGATCCTTCAGCGGCTCCCTCTGAAGACAGAGCATGTCGACGTCATTCAAGTAAGCAGCATTACGCCCCCACGCTCCTCCTCCACACTCCATCCATAAGTGGCTTCCGGCCGCGGCTCTCTGCTCATAATTTGCAAGTCAAGCATTATGCACTTGACTTGTTCTGCATTTAAAATATATAACTCGGCAGGCCTGCGAGCTGTGTTGGCTGCCCGGCGCCCATGTAATGCAGCCGCACAGCTCGCACACCCCTAAGGTCAGCACTGTGTGTGTGTATGCACATAGAAACATAAAATGTGACTGCAGATAAAAACCATTCTGCCCATCTAGTCTCCCCAATTTTTAAATATTTTCATTAGTACCTGGCCTTACCTTATAGTTAGGAGAGCCTTATGCATATTACACGCATGCATAACTCCTTTACTGTGTTAACCTCTACCACTTCAGCTAGAAGGCTATTCCATGCATCCACTACCCTCTCAGTAAAGTAATACTTCCTGATATTA